CTCGGGCACAGCTGAGCATACTCTGTGTACCTTACCGGGTGACGAGTTGTTTCCTGTCTGTCTCCATTACATAAGGAGATTCCCTACTGGACTACAGTTGTATCTCATTCATCTCTAAAGGCCCAGAGCAAAGTATGGGCACGGGAGAGTTTATTATGTTTTTGCAAAGAGGAATAAATGAACTGATGAATAAATAAACTGAGAGAGGAGAAGAGAGGGTTCTAGAAACATGAGACTGAAGTAACAGAGAGGAAGACCCGGGAAGGAGAGGTCAGGAAGGGTAGTAGCAGAGAAGGGGACAGACACAGCTGCCTCTCTGGCTTTTGTTTGTGACAACAGATGGGACATAAAATATTCAGAAGCCGAGTGCATCATCCCTTTTGAGAAGTTTCTAATCAGCCTAATTTCTAATCATGCCGACTTCAGCCTGCCCTATCAGCTTGCAAGGCCCCGGGGGGCCTGAGCTGTTAGTCATAAAAAGAAACTCCACCAGCAGGGGCCTGTGTTGGAGCCTTTTCCTAGAGATCAGAGCAGCTGGCCAGCACCCCTTAAAAACCACTGCCCGAGGAGCTGCCCCTGGCACTGAACCACCCCCTGCAGTGGCGTTCCTGATAGACTCCCCATCCAGATGTCCATGTCTAGGAGACCTATGACACCCTGGGCCGGTTGGCTTATGGGGAGCCCTACTGATCCGAATCGAAATCCATGTTACGTTATCCCACATGGCAGGGGTAGGGGTTGAAATTCCCAGCAAGACTTCCTAAACTACTCCTGATGAATCTCCTTCCTCTTTTAAATATGTTTAATACTCACCAGAGGATATTTTTCCATTTATTTTCAGACAGAGTGAGACAGAGAGAGAAGCATCGACATGAGAGGGACACATCGATTGGTTGCCTCCCGCACGACCCCGACCAGGGTCGGGGACTGAACTGCAACCGAGGTACATGCCTTTGACCGGAATCAAAGCCAAGACTCTTGGGTCTGTGGGCCGACACTCTAACCGCTGAGCCAAACCGGCCAGGGCTCCTTCCTCTTTTAGAGTTAAAGCTTTCTTTCCATTCCGGTCCACTCAGAGCAGCCAATGTCTCCTCTCCACTTACAAGTCACAGTCACAGTCATCCTGACTCTGTCGTCCGGCCCCAAGAGTCTGTTTCTGGCCCTGAGCTGCATCAGTGCTCATCAGCACACATGCATTTACCCCCGGGCCCTCCCTCTCCCCCTTTCGGTTCCTCTCATGCTCATTTGCCTACTCTTTCCTCCACTCGGGGGCTCACTGAAGGGCAGAACCCCAGGAGAGAGAGGGGGCCTGGGTACCAGGACTAAGGGTTCCTTTTTTCTGTTGCATTAGTTTAATGTGCTCGATTACCTGCCGGGACATTTTCTGGCTTGTGTGAACTTTCTTGTTGAATCAATTTCCCCACAGCCTGTGCTTTGCCCTCCCTCCCCGTTAGCACACATATCCTGCACCCAGAGGGTGACTTGTACCTTTGACAATAGGGCAGGTTAGCAGCGAGGGTGACATGGCAATGAGGCCACCGAAGTGCTCAACTGCACAGTGGTCAATGCCTGCATTGCAGAAGAAAGTCACTATATAAACACCAGCTGCTGCTCCTTCTTCTGTCCACCCCGCACAAGAGCCCGTCCACGCGGCCAGATGCTGTCCCGGGGTGCTGTCGGGCTCAGCTGGCTCCTGGCTCTGGTAGGTATGCCCGTCACTTGGCTGCATTCTCTGCCCATCTTCTCAACCACACTGGCTGGGACCTTGGGCTCAACAAGGGAGTCATGGGGCCGCGGGACCCTATGGGCTGCTGCTGACCTGACGCAGGGTGACTTTGACTCAAAGATGGCCCGTCGTCGACTGGCCAGGAAGCACTTGACATGGTGACAGGCCTCCCTTCGACTCTAAGCGAGAGGAGGACAGGAGAGCAGCAAGCCCTCTGAGCCTTGGCTGTGAGCGCTGCTGCGCCCTGACCGCTCCCTGTTTCCGCTGCCCCCCTCCAGGTGTTCGAGGGCAGGACTCCTTCGGAGCGTTGCACAGGGAGAGGGGCGGGCGCTGAGCAGCTAGAGGGTGGCTGGGTCCAGTGTAGGAGGAGGAGCTGTTCCCTGGGGCTAGAGATGCCTCTTCCACGGTGCATCCAAACCCGAGCGAGCTCACTGGAGGGAAAAGCCAGCTGAGTTCCAGATCAGCGTCTGCAGTGACCTTGGACAACCATTTCTGGGCCTTTTTCCTCCTTTGTAAAAGGCAGGAGGACGAGATGAGCTCAGTGTTTCCCAGCGTGGAACCTTGATCGCTCATGGGGCGTGAAATGGTTTTAACACGTGTAAGCAGCCCTGCGGAGCACTGACTCACGGTGTGCGGACATGTCCCCACATGTCCCTTTTCCTCCAGTTCTTCCACGAAGGCCGGGAGAAAGCCTCAGACTGGCTGTTGGCCTGTGTTAAATTACTTTCAGTTACTTGGTAACTTTTCTTTAAACCTTGGTGAAAGTTGCTAAGAGAGTAGGTTTGAAAGTAGCTCACCACACAGAAACAAATTGTACCCATGCGAGGGGGTGGGGTGCTAATAACCTTATTGTAATCATTTTACAATGTATACATATACGAAACCACTGCTTGGTCAAGGAAACCCCTACAGCTGTACTCCTTAAACTTTCATAATGTTCTGTGTCAATTATGTCTCCTAAAGCTGGGAAAAGAAATAAGTAAACAAATAAATAAAACGTTTACGTTGCTCTGTATTTTTTTTTGCCGTCTATCCACAGTGCAGGCGATGTTGGCTTTTGTTATTTTAATCCCATGAAATCTCCTTTTGAAACAAGTTCAAGGAACAGAGTTGTGCCAACGAGGGTAGTATTTACTGAGTGGCTACAACGAGCCATGAGCTTCATTTATGTGATTTCTAATGTGCCCGGCACTTGGAGGAATCGTGACCCCCATCACCGCTGAGGTGACACTGAGGGCCAAAGAAGCTGAGAAATATGCACAGAGTCAGATGCCTAGTAAGTGGCTGAAGGAGGATTTGAAACAAATGTGTCTGATCCTCAAGTTCACGGTCCTCGCCCCTTCCCACCCTGCTTCCTGTGCACCGGATTCTACCATCCGAACCCACACTCAGAACAGCTGACTTGGCCCGTCCAGCAGGCGTCGCTCAGACTGGCCTCTGTGCCCGGTCAGCTGTGCTGCGGACTGTCACCTCCCTCCATTCCCCTCCCGGTTTGCCTTGCTCCAACTCCTCTCCGCTCCCTAAACCTGCCCCGTCTCAGTTGCTGGCCCATCACCTCCCGCGTGTTTGATGTTTCGTCTCTCATTCTCGCTCTAGACCACTGGGAAGCAACATCTGTCCCCATTAGAGCTGAGTTACAGAACCAGGTCCCCTTTCAGGAGTGGGGTGACACTGTTCCCTGGCCGCGGTTCCTAAGTGAGGAACCTGAGTCCCCCAGGAGGACTGTAATTTGTCCAGATAAGTAGGGTGAGTAGCTGAGACATAAACACATGGACCCAGACACGGGGGCCCAGAGAGCGTGGAAGGGGCCTGGGAGTGTGTGTGTGGGGGGCAGATTGTGGTGTTTTTTCTGTAGGGGCCAGACACAGGGATGGGAAGAGCATGGGACTGGGGGTGGAGAAGAAACTCAAACAAGCCCTGGCTGGTTTGGTTCAGCAGTTAGAGCGTCGGCCTGCAGACCACAGAGTCCCGGGTTCGGTTCCCACTAGGGGCATGTACCTCGGTTGCAGTTTGTCCCCCGCCCCAGTTGGGGTCATGTGGGTGGCAGCCACTCCATGTGTTTCTCTCACATCGATGTTTCTCTCTCTCTTCTTCTCCCTCTCTCCCTCCTGCTCCATCTGAAGATGGATGCCAAAACGCCTCGGGTGAGGATTAAAAAAGAGAGAGAAACTCAAACAAAGGGCAACTCACATGAGAAAAGAGTGGCCTTGTAGGAACATGTCAGGATGGGGCTCTCAGGGAGGGGCAGAGTGAGCCCCCGAGCTTAGGAGGTCGGCGAATCATACTGAGTTGCAGCGTTCTTTTCTGCCTTGGAACTCCCTGTAGTGATGGCCGGGCTCCAGCTGGGTGCGCAGGAGCCCGGGGGAGTGCCCGGGGGAGTGCCCCCCTGCAGGGCTGCCTGCGGAGTTCCCTGAGTCCAGAGAGCTGGGAGGGCACTGCTGCTCGGAAACCCAGAGTGACTGCGACCGAGCAGGCGCAGGTCTTTGATGGACAGCAAGGAACCCGGCTACAGTGAGAACAGTACAGCGGCGGCTGGAACAGAGAAGGTCCTGATCAAATCCCTTCCCCCCAAATACAACCTCGGGTAAGGAGGCACTGGACGTGGCTGTCCACTGGCAGTACGACCCAGGAGGCCCCCTGGGCCATGCGGTGTCACTGGTACTGACCCAAATACAAACAGGAGGCATGAACAGGACTTGGCGTACGAGCTACTCGGAGCCAAGCCCACTGCGCGGACCAGGACGTCCCGCGGGTCTGAGTGAGCACGTCCCCATGCTGAGTGGGAGAGCTTTGGAGTCAGAATCAACTCAGGTTGAATTGCTGGAGCCACAGGTGACTTCTGTGGATCCCAGCTCCCCTTTCTGTAAAGTGGGAAAATAAAAACACTGCCCTCTGGCCGGTCGGTGTGGCTCAGTGGCTGAGCGTCGACCCAGGCACCAAGAGGTCGCCGGTTCAATTCCTGGTCAGGACACATGCCCAGGCTGTGGCCCAATCCCCTGTGGGGGGCACGCAGGAGGCGGCCAGTTGATGTTCTCATCGATGTTTCTAGCTCTCTCTCCCTCTCCCTTCCTCTGTCTCTAACATCAATAAAGGAAAAAAAATTTAAAAAAACACCACACTGCCCCCACCCTCACCCCATTACCAAGAACATTAACTGCAGTAACGGCGGGCGGGGTAGCAACGCTTCACTTGCTTCCGCGGCCCTGGACCCCTGACCCACCCCCACACCAGGTCCTGCTGCTGCGGGGAGCACCCTTGGGAGAGCAGATCCTACCTTTGGTCAGGGAGTGAATCCCGAGCTTGACTTGGGAAAAGTTCCCACTTCCGATTTCCCCTCGAATTCGGTAGAAGCCGATCCGTTTCCCCAGCGTGATCTCTCTCACCACCTTCTCGTCCTGGGACATGTCCTGGGTCAGCTTCTCAAAGGGTGTCAGCTGGCGGGCCTGCCCCTCGTCCTCCTGGCTGCAGTCTGTGTGACGGCCGCTCTCCACGCTCTCCCGCCGGTCCCACCGGGCGTAGTGGGGGCTCACCAGGCCACCTCCATTCACACACACGGCTGTCATTGTCACCGTCGCCGCAGGCTCACGTCTCCATCTCAGCAGAGAGGCGCCAATCAAGGGCAGTTGGGAGGAGCGGAGGAGGCCCAGCCGGTGGGCGGTGGGAGTGAGGGACCCCCAGAGCCCCGAGCCCGTGAGGGCTGGCCTGCGGGAGCCAGCGAGCCAGGACCCTACCCAGCCCAGCCCACGGCTGCCGGCCTCACGCGAGACATTGCACACCGCCTTCGCCTGGGTCCGAACTCCCCAGCGCTGCCCGTGCACACATGGGCCACTGCAGCCACTCCCCTGTTCAGGCTGCAGGACCCCCTGGCCGGCCCCGCAGCCTGATGCTCTGTGGCAGGTGCCTGCGTCCTGGGACGAAGGGTCCAGCTTGCTATTTCTTTTGATGGCCAGAGACGCTTCCACTCCCAAGGCCCCCGGGCACCTGCTGCCGCCGCTCACCTCTGACCTTCCTCATTTGACACTGCTCTCGTGTGTAGTCACTAACACCTGGCAGGTCGCAGGCCCCGGAGACCTAACGTCTGACGCCCGGGGAAGAAGGAAGCTGCAAATCAGCCTTCTGGTCACACGGGTGGCCGGAGAAGGATTAAAGCCCGGTGATGTCACTTGAGCTGGCCTTTATTTAGATGAGCCTTCTCCTAAGCCGCGAGCTCTCTCAAAACGTCGGCAGGTGCGGGGTCGTCCTAAGAGCAAGAGGAAGAAGATGCATTAGAAGGCTGGTGAACGGGACAGGACTCAGGACGGACATGGGGCCGCCGCAGGGCACCGACCTGACAGTGACACGCGAACTTCAGCGATGACACCTGCCGGCAGCACCTGCTGGTCTAGTGACCAAGCGAGAAGAAAGGGCACGCGCACTCTCTGCGGTCTCTGCTTTAGCAAAGCCCCCACGGCCTGTACATATTTCCAGCAAAACGCTTTTTCTACTTTTTGACGTTTAGGACAATATGCATGTTGCTGTGGGTGGCTTTAAAGCCAGACTTTTAAAATGTTAGTAGGATAGTCATGATGATAAAGATCTTCTATTAATACCTGTTTTCAAAAGCTCTTACATTGATTCAGATAATAATGTTCTGTTTCCAGTGTATCCTCAGTTGCATGTTCTCCCACAACTTTTTGTATACGTTCTGTGGCTACTGTTTCTTTCGGTTCAGACTAGGCTGGATTTCCTCCTAGTCGTCCTTCCTGGGTACTTCTGACCGAGAGGCAGCCTCCGGGCCCCGCCGCTCGTCCCGCAGGTGCAGGAGCAGAGGGCCGTGTCCTGAGGGTGGGAGTCGATGGCATCCTCAGGTCAGGAAGCACTGCCCGGCCAGGACACCCGGCCTTCCTTCCTGCACACGCAGTGGGAGACGCCACGCCCTCGCCGAGTCCCCACCGCGGGCACCCTGCCCATCTTCCGACGCAGCCCATCTCCGTGCCTGGGAGCCGGGTGCCCCACTCCCCTCCCGTCTCCCTCGGCTCAGATGCCGGCATCAGCAGAGGCGCTAAATGTATGTCGAACTTGAGTTTTGAATTTGAGCATGGCCTTCGGAATGCGACCTTCCAATTCTGTTTGATGTCACATTTTCATGGTTAAGTATAGGACTGCCTCTGTTGTTATTGTGGTTATGTATGGGGTCACCAAATAAAGATGAGTAAGGACAGGAAAGAGGAGACCTTGTGTGTGTGTGTGTGTGTGTGTGTGTGTGTTGGGGGGGTGAGGACTGGAAGGATAAAGAAAGGAGGTTGTTTTTTAAATTTTTTAAATTAATTTTTGTTACAGATGTTTCTCTTTTTTCCCCCATTGACACCCTCCTCCTGATCCCACACCTGCCCCCCCCACCCCTGGCCTTGTTGTCTATGTCCATTGGTTATGCAAATTGTTTGGATTATCTCTCTTCCCCTCTCACATCGAGAGGCCGCCTCCCGCACGACCCAACCAGGGCGGGGGACAAACTGCAACTGAGGTACGTGCCCTCAGCAGGAACCGAACCCGGGTCTCTCTGGACCACAGGCCAATGCTCTAAACGCTGAGCAAAACCGGCCAGGGCTAATTAGGATGTTTTAAAAGGTGGTTTTGCCCTGGCCGGATGGCTCAGTCAATTGCAACATCATCCCATGCACCCAAAAAGGTTGTGGGTTTTATTCCAGTCCAGGAACATGCCCAGGTTGTGGGTTCAATCCCTGGTCGGGGTGCATACGGCAGGCAACCGATTGATGTTTCTCGCTCACGTTGATGCTTCTCTCTCTCTCTTCCTCTCTCTGAAATCAATAAACATAGCCTCAGGTGAGGATTAAAAAAGTAAAAAATAAAAGATGGTCTTAAGATATAAGATACTTATTTAGGCTGAGGGAAATCTAAGTCTGATTCTTAATCTTTCTGGGGTCACCGACTCCTTTGAGATCCTAACACAATCTGTGACCCTATCCTTGGGAAAAATGCTCACACATGTATTTTGTGTCCAACTTTAAGGAATTCAAGGACCCTCTGAAGCCCATCCCTGTCCCTCGGGTTAGAATCTCTCTGGCAGAAAGAGACCACACACACAAGAAGCAAGGTGGCATTCATTGTAATTCTGGAAGAAACTTTAGCTTGCCCTGTGCAGAGAACAAGGGCCTTAGACAGGACATGGTGCTTGGTTGCCTCCTGCCCTAGCAGCTCTGTGAAGAACCTTCCACAGGACCCCAGGCCGGCCTCTGTCAGAGTGTCTCACCACCCCGCGTCTGTGTCGCTGACCTACCTGTACCCCAACTAGATGAGCGCCGGGAGGGCAGCCACCTGCCCCGTATTCTCCTATCCACCAGAACTCGGCACCGTGCCAGGCACTTATTTAAGAAAAGTTTGCTGAAGAAGGAATGAATTAACTTACCAATGTATTGATCGTCACATTTAAGTATGATTTAGCAGAGGCAAATATCTTCACTTACAAACGAATGACCCTCTCCCAACACTTACTCGAATGCTTTCGCAAAGCCCATTGCAGTGCGCATTGCCCCGAGGCCTGGCTACCTCCCCTGGCCTTCAGGACTCCCGGCCCCGCCCTCTGTGCAGGTGAAAGTTGAGCCAGAATTCCACCAGCAGACTGAGAACTGCTCCAGGACTGAATGCAAAGGGCAGAAAAACAAAGTCTCCCCCAACCTTGCCGCTTCCAAAGGTCAGCTGGACCCAGGCACCCAGGTCTCGCACCTCCCGGAACCTGGTCCCTGACCCCGCACGGTGCTTGGCCAGGACCTTTTCTCTGTTTCCCTGGTTCCTCCACTCTCCTGATCTGGGCCCTGCATCTTCAGGGCCCTCCAGGCCTGCAGTTTACAGTCAGGATATAGACTGCCGCCCTGATTAACTTCAGATGCCCCAGGAATCTCTGCCCTCCCCTCCCCGTTCCCCCCGGGGGTCAGACGCAGCCGCCACCCTACACCCATAAATGAACTTTCCTGCACAGTGGCTTGAAAAGCAACGATCTTGCCTCAATGACCAGGGAGACAGTGAACCTGGCTAGACCAGAAGTTTTTACAGTTTTGAAAATGTTGCTGTGGGTTTGTATTGAGGAAGAATCGCGATTTTGGGACAGCTAGCCAGCCCACTGGGAAAAAAACCTGAACTTCTATCTCCTGCCTACTGCAAAGTAAATGTCAGATAGATCACCTAAGTGAAGGCAAAATAAACGAAACCATAAAATACTAGGGGACAAAAAAACAAATGTTTACATGATCTCAGAGGTTGTAAAAGGAGAAACATCTGCAACAAAAATAAATACATCAATTAATAAAAACATTTAAAAAAAAGAAGACATTAACTTTGAATACATAAAATAACTTTCTGTTTGCCAAAAATATCGTAAACAAATGAAACAATTCAGTGGTAACCTGGTAGGAGAGCTTTCCAGTACATGTGATAGACAAAGGGTTCATTTCCTAGATAAAGAATTTTCACAAATCGATAAGCAAAGAATACCAATATCTTTTTTAAAAATATGTTTTTTATTGATTTCTTTTTAGAGAGAGAAGAAGAGAGAGATAGAAAGATGGATATGTGGGAGAAACATCGATCTGCTGCCTCCTGCATGCCCCCCCACCCCGGGAATCAGGCCTGAAACCCTGGCATGTGTCCTGACAGGCGGGCTGGAACCTCTCAGTCCCTGGGACAATGCTCACTCCACTGAGCCACACCGGCCAGGCTAGTGGATTGTTTTTAAAATCAAAAGATTTGGCTCAGCAGTTAGAACAGCAGCCCATGGATCAATGAGTCTCAGGTTCGATTCTGGTCAAGGGCACGTGCCTCGGTTGCAGTTTGGTCCCGGCCCTGGTCGGGTCATGCGGGAGGCAATCGATGTGTCTCTCTCACGTTGATGTTTCTCTCTCTCTCTCTCCTTCCCTCCTGCTCTATCTGAAGATGGAAAAAAAAATATCCTCGGGTAAGGATTAAAAAATAAAATCAAAAGATAATTAGGAACCGTGGTTAAATGCAGAGAATTTAAAACTTTCATTTCTCTCTACTTCCTTCTGAAAGCCCACCTCAGGATAGGAGGGAAAGGGTGTACCCACAAGAACAAAGAGCACAAGGGGGTACAGCAGCAGATGAAGACGACACACGCTTTGTGGAGGATGGAAAGCAGACAGGGTGGGGAATGACCCAGAAAAGACGGTGAAGAAAAGTACAACCTAGACTCAGACCCGCGGCCTGCGGCTAGTTCACCTTCTGCAGCTCAAACGATTTCACACGTAAGAGACCAAGTTCAGACCGAGTTCCCCCGAGTGTGGAGGAAAGAAGCCGGCCGGAGACACGGGGCCTGTTAGACTGCAGAGCAGCACGAGCCCCGGGCCAGTTCCTTCTCAAAGCTGGTGGCTCCTCTCTCTGCCCCCTCCCAGCCCACTCCCAGCCCAGCTCCCAGCGGGCAGGGCAGCCGATGCTCAGACTCGGGGCTGTGGGATGCCCTGGCCTGCATCAGCTTGCACCCCTGCAGGTGACTTTCCAGTATGGAGGGCTACAAGCATCTAATCTTCCAGATGGAGGATTCTTCTCTTATTCATTTTTTAAAACAAATATATGTCTTTATTGATTTTCTTTTTAGCGAGCGATAGAGAATCATGGATATGAGAAATCTCTATCACTGCCTCCTGCACGCCCCCTGGTGGGGAATTGAGCCCACAACCCGGGCGTGTGCCCTGACAGAATGGAACAGGGACCTCTCAGTCCATGGGACAACACTCAATCCACTGAGCCACACCAGCTGGGCAGGATTCCTCTCTTGGATAAACTAAATAGCTAAAGAGAAAACCAATATTTGGAAGTTCTCCCACACAAAAACCTCCTGCCCACCTACCGTCCAGTCCTCTGAGGTGCCAAGTTCACAGGCACAGGGACCTTCCAGTCAGATTGTAGTGTCTCTCACTTGAAGGAACATCCGGTCAAGAAGCACCAGACACCCGAGCGAAAGCTCCGAAGTGGAAGACTCGTGCCCATCCCAAACCCTAAC